GACTCTGAAGTCCACATTCCCAATCAAGTCAAAGCTTTGTTAATCCGGGGCTGTGGGCACATAGAGGAAGGTGTGTGGGGCTTGGTAGGGGAAAGAGAAGTTGAGGAAGACTTCCTGGAGGAGACCATTGAACTGGGGCTTGACATTTAGGAAAATCACTGTGGAGACAGTGAGAGTCTCCTTACTGGAGAATGCAGATAAGTTGCAAAGTGTGTTTAAATGCATGAGAAGGTTCTGGAATCAGACATGTAGGTTCAATCCCGACTCTTCCAACTGCTGGCTGTATGACCTTGGGTCAGTTATTTAACTTCTTTCAGTTTCAGTTTTTCATCTGTAAAATTGGATATAATATACAGCGCTGGCACATGTTAAATGTTAGGTATCACTTTATACAACTAGAGTATTAAGAGCCCTTTACAACTACAGTGATATTGACAAGCAAAATCATTCCAGTGGTACACTGACTCTGAACCCAGTACTCCAGCCCTGGTCTCAGGGGGCTCTGCAAACTTACATGACTCCTTGAAGCCTCTCTCTACATGTTGAAGTCAGGAGAGTCCATCAGAGGGAGTGGTGAGATTCACTCCTCCTATACTGCGGTTTTCAACTCCCCCATGGCTACTCTAACCTTAACTCTTTTGTGCCCTTGAGTGAATGAGGGATCAAGAGTGATGAATCTGGTTTTTGGCCACTTAATCTGCAAGCCCTGTGTGAGGAAACCAGTTTCTTGGGGTTAGGGAATCATTGACACCAGAAGTCTTGGCCTCAGCCAAAACAGAGATCAGCTCACAAACACCACTTGTTCTCCAAATTCAATAGTTGAGTAAAGTCAGCTAAAATTTTTGACAAGCTCCATGCTATCTGAAATCTTGTTACTCATGATCCATAACTCAGGAACAAATGGATGGAGTAGGCTAAAGCAGTATCCCCGTCATCTAAGTTCCTTACCTGAACTCACCCTACACTATACTACCTACTATTGGGTCACGAGCCTAACAGATCTGGGAGCGGGATTGTCTACCATCCTGTGCACCATGGTAGGTGTGAGGACTGGCCTTGTTCATTCATGGTAGGTGTGAGGACTAGCATGTGTGGCGGTCTGGCCTTATTCATTCCAGAGGACAGTGATGCAGGAAGGGACTCGGCATCATTTTGCAGCCACGATGGCAGAAAAACAGCTGAAAATTCACCAGGTTACCATTTACCAGGTGAAAATTCACTCTGTGATCATCTGTGTCACTGAGTTGCCCTGGCTACAGCGGTAGTGCAATCATCAGATGAAAACACTGCTTTCCTTTCTGCTTGCCTGGAGCTTGCAAGTGCCAGAGGTGAGGGAGGGCGTCTGATGCCCTCCATTTAGCTGCCCCAGGTCCTCCCGACTCCCTGCATGTGTGGTCCCGGGATCTTAACACATGATACTCTTTATCCTGTGCTGCTAGCTGCTCAAACTCTTCCCAGGCATCTAACACATTCACTGGCATTACTCTCACAGGAGTAATTAAAAGGACAAGTATCTTTCTAAAAAGCAGAAGAAACTTGTAATGAATTTAAAGTGAGCAAAAATCCTCATTTAAGCAACATATTATTTCCCAGGATCCCAACGCGAGCATTCAAAAAAGTGCAAAAAACATGCATTATTGAGAAGCTTTTTAGATGAGCAACTTGCAGATTAATTTACTGTGTTGAACAGACAGGGCCAGTGCACACCTTGCTTTCTTTTTTTTGTTTTGAGTTGGAGTCTTACTCTGTCACCCAGACTAGAGTACAGTGGCCGCTCTTGGCCGCCACAGCCTCGCCTGCTGGGGGCCGACGATCCTTCCGCCTCAGCCTTCCAAGTAGCTGGAACTATTGGTGCGCGCTACCACACCCGGCTAATTTTTTTTTTTTTATTGTAGAGATGAGGTCTCACCAAGTTGCCCAGGCAGGTCTCGAACCCACGGGCTCAGGCAATTCACTCACCTCTGCCTCCCAAGGCGCTCAGGATTACAGGCTGAGCCACCGAGCCCGGCTCACACCTTGCTTTCCAGTGACTCTGGAGCTTGGCTCTCTGCCATAGCAGGGACAGGTGGCTCTACTCCTTGTGGGGTGGGGGGTAGGAGAGGGGAAATGGAGGGCACATTCTGGGAGGACACTGTGCCTTTCTAGATCAGCCTTTGATTTGAGAAGCCAAGGCAACTTGAAGAGAACATTTAGTTGATAAAAGGAGGAAGGGTGGGGTACCGCATATTTCATTTGTGTTCCTATACAGAGACAGGCAAGCAGGAGCCTTGGCTTCATGCAACAAAAAGAGACTAAGCTGACTCCCATTACTAGGCACCTGCCCACCACTCTGAAGGAGGACCATCTGCCAGGAGGCAGGTGTGGCCCCAACATGAAACAGTTTAGCTGAGCACAGCAGCCACCAGCCCTGGGATTCCTAGTATCACCCTCAGTCAGCTGCAGACGGTGCAAACACCAGCCCAGCCTGGGCCAGGCCAGCTGCAAGGAAAGACATGACTTAGGATACTTCCTCATCCTCAAAAACTGATAAATACAACTTGTTTTTCCAGGGGAGATACCCCAACCCATCATCCTTTAGTAGGAGACTGCCCTTCCAAGCTCAATAAACTGATAAATGCAACTTCTCCAGGGAAAACAACCCAAAATCTATCATCCTTTAGTGGAGCCATCAAGTCTGCTTCGGAAGGCTGCTGAGCTGGAGTCACCCCACAGACCCTGTCCTGCCTTGCACCCAAGGACGCTTGCGAAATAGAGACTTGGAAATAAAAATACTAAAGCCAAAACCTCTGCCAGCCCGTCAGCTCCAGTTTTTAAAATTAAATCCAGAATGTTGTTGCTGAAATGTTTGAGATATTACTTTCTGGGTTTTAGTGAGATTTCTTTAATGCCCATCGATTGCTGGGTAATAACTTGTACCTATATGTCTCATTTCAATTACCTATTTAAAATTCGCTGAACCATAAATCTATTCCCAGAGCTCTGGGAATTTAGTTTAGAGTTCCTATGACTTTGAAAAACCATTGATCCCCGTATGCTCCAAGTGGCTGCATGTCAAGTCTTTATAGTGGGGTTAACTCATTTTGTGGCTTACTTAATGGCTGCGAGTTTACGTTTTATTGCATATCTATTATTTGGGTTGGGCTGTGATGAATGGTTTGGCTGCCTGGTTCAAAACAAGTCCAAGGCGACAGCAGAATCTAATTTGCTTTAAAAATGATGATTATAAAGCTTTTCAAATAATAATCCTGGAACGAAGGAAGCAGAAACCACATTGCTCTGCAAGAGACATGTGGCTGGAGGTGAGGGAATGGTGTCTCTCCCTTTCCAGGGCAGCTCATGTTTATAATGACCTCATGAGGTAGGCTAGGGAGGCCTTCTCTTTTTTCATAGGCAGTAGGGATGCTTCCATTTCCCTGAGAGTAAAGCCAAGAGCATGCTGTTTGGCTCCAGATACATTCCGGGGAGTCACACTCATGAAGCAGAGGCTAGGTATTAGGTACAAGATGGTGCCCAAGCAGTGCCATTCTCTGCTTAATGATGCCATCGTGGGACATATCTCTGAAGTCCAGGCTTGGCCTCTGGCTCTTAAAATGCTCTGACCTTTTTATTCTCCATAGCTCCTTTGGCAGAGGGGCCCACACCAAGAATGTATTTCTGGGAATGTCCCCAGAAACTGTCCCCAGAAAACACGTTGTTGCTTTCCTGACTTAGAAGTTGCTCTCCCTGTAACTGCCCTGACTGCTCTAGCTTGGGGGTGGACTTAGGTCCTGTGTGCTAAGGATGCTGTGAACTGGAAAGGGCCCTCAACCACGTCGAGCACATGGACACTTCCCACAGGGAAGAATGCACTTGTTTCTCTCCTCTTATGCCATCCAAGTACCTCTCTGTTTGTCACAAGAGCCCTTCTTGCCAGCAAATCTCAAGGGCTCCTCTTCAGCCTTGTGGATTGTGGAATAGCAACAGCCTAAAGAGATGTCGATAGAAAGCAGGAATACCCTTCTGATTAAGGCTAGGGGAGAGGGAGAACACGAGGACCGGTGGCTCAGAGTACTCAGTGCCCCTAGGGGGCTCCCGCCCTCCTCCCAAGTGCCAGGGCCTGCAGTTAGGTGTGAGCTGGCAGGTTACACCCAAGGGTGCTTCACACAGGGAGCATCCATTTTCTGCTTTAAGCAGAGTTTATTACCTTCTAATATCAAGGGCTCCATCTCTTTTGGGCCCAGAACGTCCCTTCTAGTTCCAGCTTGGGCCCAGCACTGCCCCTTCTTCCTCACTGCTGACCTCTGTCTGGAGCCATCCGGGGCTAGCTCTTGCATTGTGCATCTCTTGGAAGTTCTGTCCCAGCACCGCCTGTGACTAACATGATGTAATCTCTTGGAAGGTCACTTCAGGGAAAAGACTTGGGTCCTTAAGCTATCCTGTTTGCTTGTGCTATGTACCAGGACTCCCTGGTTGAGTTACTTGGGGCACCTCCTCTGTTTTCACAGAGTACTCACTTTCTGTTCCTCTCTAGGGATCCCCTGCCTCTCTTCGACTTGGACCCTCACTCTTCATTGTTCTTGGGTAGTGACTGCTCCCTGCCCCTGCCTGGCTGAGCCTCCAGGCCCTCCTGCAGGCTTTCTCCCCAGGCAGGACTCCCTGAGGAGGCCAGGTCATAGCCTAAAGATAGCTCTAAAATCTGCTCTCTCCACATGCAGTCATGGGACGCCTGAAGGGTGTCCAGCAGCTACACTTCAATCACAGCCCTAGACCCCTCAAACAATGAGAAAAAAAAACCTTTCTCCAAAAAGGAAAGCGGGAGCCTTCCTGGGCCCCACTCATTTCCTTTTGGCCTTTTCTTAAAGCTCAGGCTGTGACAAAACACAACTACTCTCACCTGTAAAAGAAACCCACCTGGGAGACAACCAAGGACAGACCAGGTGCCTGACACCACTTTGGTGCAGGAACACCTGCAGAAACGAGCCTGTTTGCCCACTGGGACCCCAGACTGGGGCCTGACTTACGGAAGGCCGTGTAGAACTCGCGGAGGGTCAGGGTGCTGTCACTGTTGTAGTCGTCAAATCGAAGGAGGTCGCTTGGCGAACAGCCGAGTAAGTCTTCATCCAGGTCCTGCTCCTTCAGCATGTGCTGTGGGGCAAGGAGGGGACAAGGCAGGAGCAGAGAGTGAGTTCAGAGTTGTGGGCATTGCTAAAAATGTCTCTGGTCAAGCAGGGACTCCTCAGAGGGTCTCGGGGGGCACCTGAAGCTCTTTGGTTTTGTCTTGTACAATCCCCTCATTTTATAGATGAGAAAACTGAGGCTCCGAGAGGGGAAGTGATTTCCCCAAGTTCCTGCTGTGGTTGGGGTAGAGTCTAGACTAGAGCTCATGTCTGTCTTCTCCCCATCTGAACTGACAGACCCAGACAGTTTGAGGTGGGAATCCTTGAGCCATCTGGTCTTTCTCTGCATGCTACAGATGAGGAAACAGAGGAGAGAAGAGGCCTCATCAAATACACCCAGCAAATAATGCCTGAATTCAAGGTCCCCTGGCTCCCACCTGCACAGAGCTGGAGGTCACTGCTCCATCAATGTGCCCGTCCACTCACCAACCCTTACCAATGTCAGGGCAGTGCTTCCTAGCCATGGCACATGCTCCAGAAGGGGGTAGCTTCCCTTCTATCAAACTAAGTCTGAGCCCCACCCCTGCTTGCCCTGTCCTGCCAGGGAAACAAATGTCCACCCTTGGAACTCAGTCACCGGGGCCATGGGTAGTCTCTCATGAATGCCTCTCTGGTTATGGTCTGAGCCGTAGGACACAGAGGCCTCCTGGTATGACCAGCTACATGCCACAAGGTAACTAAAGGTAGAAATTCCAGGCAACCTCACTCAGCTGGAGCTGGAGGTCCATATGCCTGGAACTGAAGATCTTGCAGGAAAAATGCTCAGAAGGAAATCTCAGAACAAAGAAGATGATTTTATTTTGGGGGGGCAGAAGGGAGCAGAGGCATTTTCTCTTTATTTAACATCCTCAGCTTGGCCTGCTATATTAAGGGCAATTTAATGTACTAATGTTAAAAAAAATGAAGCTTCACCCAGCAAGTAAGAGCATTCGATAAAAGGGAGATCAACTGTAACGCCTGGGATCAATCTTCCAAAGATGGAAATTTCCCATTGTCTATTTCTGCATTGGAAATTGATTAACCTTTTATAGGGCTGATGAGTTTTTCCCAGCGTCTTTGATTCAGTGTCAAGGAAAGTTCCACTTTAGTTGGGCTCTGCTTGGCAGATTTATGAAATGGACTTTAAATATATTAAATTTTGAAGAGGAAATCATAGTCCAATTACCACGCTTGTTAATAGCTTCAGTTGCCTCAGACCATGTGTCTATCAGGTTAGGACAATGTGTCTAGAAGGTTCTGTTTACATAGCAGACACCTGGGAGCCACATGGGCCTGAGAGGCCAAGAGCTCACAGTGGCCCCTGTCCAGAGTCAGCTGATGCCACCTGCTTCCAGTGTTCCCTGCACAGCCTGCAGTGTGAGGAACTGCCTGGTGGGTCTTCCTGCAGGTGGCCATAACTAGCAGGACCTGGGCTTTTCCCAGAGCAGCTGGGGTTACCTGTAGGTCTCTGAACCCGCCCTGTGGATTCTTAGCTAGAGCCGGGGAGCGGGTGGCGGGGTGGGTCTAGTGCTGATGGAGGTGGTGACACACTGGCAGAGTGGGTGCCTTGGAGACCATGGGCAGCAGGCCTCTTGGATGCAGGCCTTGGGTGGGCTTGTCCACGCTGCTCAGGTGCAGGTGAGCAGAGCAGAGCCATCTGAGATTCCCAGCATCCCTGGAAACAGGCTCGGACTGGCTGTAGTGGAGGACCTGTGCTCTAAAGCTTCAGGTGGCTGCTCCTTACTAGGTTTGTGGGTGTGGCTGTCTTCACAGACCTTGAGGGGCCCATGTGGTGCCTTGTGGTAGGAGCCATTCTCTCAGGGAGACCCCTGGCATCTTGAGGAGGCAAGCGCATGCCAGTCAGTCTGCCTGGGCTTCATCTTCATCCTACCACTTTCAGGCACTGAACACCATTCGGGTAACTCACTGGACTTCTTCAAAGCCTCAGTTTCCTCCCCTGAAAATATCTGCAAAGTGGGATAATGATAGTCCCCACCTTATAGCAGAGGATAGCCAAAAAGTTTAAGGAGGATATAACAACAAAGATGACGATGATGCTGGCAGTACTGACCACTCGCATCTATTGAAAGCAGACCATGTACCAGGCCCTGTGCAAAGCATTTTCCTGCCTTAGCTGGCTGAGCCCTCCTGGTGACCCTGTGAGGTTCACAGATGAGAAGACAGGCCCAAGGAAGCACGGTGTCTCCCAACATCCATGAGCTCACACATGCTGGAGGCAGCACTCGCCCTCGAGCGGTTTGACTCTGAAGTCTGTTCTTCACCACCACCCTGCATCACAAAGCACTCCTAGGTTAGTGCCAACACATAGCTCAATGAATGTGGGTACTCCTCACCCCAATCCTTCCCAATGATCTGGTCCCAGCTATGAGAAGATCCCTGTGCCATGTCTAAGATTCCTTTACACTGGTGTCAAAGGTGGGGACTCACCTTTACTATCTATCCTCTGGGTGGCACTGAGTAAGGTTCATAAAATTGTAGCTACTCACCCTCTTGCATCATTGGAGCCCTCACTCCACCACCCTGCTTGGGTGACCTCACTTTCCTTGCAGATCTCTGCACCTGCCTGGTGTGGCTCTAGGGCCCCAGGCCCTGAGAAGCAAATCAGCAGAGCAGAGCAGGCCCCTCCAGCCCACCCTAGCCTTTCTGTCCCAGGAACTCTGCAGGGTCCTCCCCATGACCGGCAGTGGCTGTAACCCCAGGAGTGAGGTGGCTCTTTCCTTGCTTTCTACGCTGCAGACACTAGCTACCCTCGCACCACTTTGTAGCCAGACAAAGGGACATATATGCGGGGGCAGGAGGCAAACCACAGAGGGGCAGTGAAAATATTTTCCCACAGGAGAGCAAGACCTTGGGGTGGACACAGCAAGCAGGCTGAGGCTGGGTTTTTGATCTTTGGATACCCAAGAATGGTGATGTCCTAAGGCAGAGGACTTGGGGACTCCAGGGTTAAGGCTCCAAAGGTGTTTGGTGGAAACAAAGCCCTGCTTCCTTGTAACCTTTCTGCTGAGGAAAGTGAAGAAATGATTGATTTCCTAATTAAAACATCGGAGATGAGTCCCTCTGAAGTGAGGTTTGTCAGATAGCTGACAGTGCTTCAAAGCTTGTTTGTAAATAGTGGCTGAAGTTGACATCATTTTGTTTGTGGGAGTTCTCAAAAGTGTTGAATACAAGCTCTTTGATTCCCCGAAGGGGTGGGAAAAGGGCCTCTTCAGGGTTCTGTGGCAGAGACAGTTACCAAAAACTGTTCTCATGTGAATCTTCCAAGTTCTCTTCAATGTATGATGGGAGGGGCAGGGCTACAGTGCTCTTGTCTCCACCCCACCTTGATGGCGTCCCGGCTGCAGTGTTAGAGGTATTGTCTAGCTGCAGACCCCTGGCCCAGGGCAGCAGGCAGCTCAGAAGAGGCTTATCTTTCCTGTCAAGGTTCATGAGGAAGGTTATGGGAACCAGCGAGGATGAGACATCCTGCCCTTCTGACCTTCCACAATTTGACTTTCACTGAATGCTGTACCCACCTGGGCCATTTCAGAGCTACTGAGGTAGCCATTGCCGTCTGCATCCAAGTCCTTAAACAGAGATTCCACCAGGAGGCGCTTCTGGGAAGCAGGATCATGTCTGCTATTCTCTTCTTGGAGTGGCCGCAGGTGGGTCTGGAGTGCCAGCAGGACATTCTTCAGGCGGGCATAGCCGGCCATGGTACACGTGTCACCTGTAAGAGAGAAAGAGGCTATGACAGCAAAACTCATCCTGTGGTCTTGAAGAAAACAGTACCTTAATTGGTCCATTCATCCATTTCACTCACAGTCACTGGATATTTGCTATGTGCAGTGCATGGTGCCACTGTGGTCAGTGTGATGTGTTTGTCTATCCAGCAATCCATGCCATAGATATTTGCTGAGCACTGAATGCATGCTGAGCACAAGATGCAAATGATGGAGATAGCCTGTTTGTTCAACTCACAAATATTTATTGAGCACCTACTACAAGCCTGATGTAGAGTGAGTACCAGATGGAATGGGAACTTCTTCCAGTTGAATTTACAGCAGTAGTGGCAGCTTTAGGAAAGTCAGCCCCAATTCCGTTTTGTAATAGCTTGTGTTTGCTTTAATCCTACCTTAAAGGCTGCTTTTGAATACTTGGCCCCATAGATTAGGGAATTGAGTTAACAGGACTAATAAGCCCTGCTAACGTTAATTAGGTACACTCCCAGAGCTTGGATTACTTCAAAACAAACACATGTACACACGTCTATGACCAAGAAACAAAAAGAGGCTTTACGAAATTAAAACCAAAGTACACGGCCCAATACACTTAGGCCTTTTATCACAGGTGAGCTTGCTGAATAGCCTAGAACTAGGAAGTGTTTTGGCACACGAGGCCTGGGATGCACTGCTATGTGACATTGGTTATCTTCTGGTGACGGGCCGCTAGGGCACAACCCATTAACCAAGGCTGCAGGGGTGTTAGCAGAGCAGGGCAGTCCCTCCAGTCCCGCTTCCTGCCTGCTTGGGGGATGGGAGCTTCCTGCAGCTGGCTTTGCAGAATCCTGGAGACGTGGAGTGGGCTCCTCACTGACCGTGCCAGTTTAGGCCAATGGGCTGCTGGCAGTGCAGTCTGGGCCCAGGGACTCTTTCCCTTAATGCCAAGGCCAGTTTAGGGCCCCAGGTAATAGCTCAGTGTAGGAGAGTCAATAGGAAGCAATACCATAGAGCAGGCGTCCTGAGGTCCCTGAGTTTGAGCTCTAGGTCGGCTGCCAGGTAACCTTGGGCAAGGAGACTCAGCGATCTCATCAGTTAAGTGGGGATAACAGTGCCTCCCATATTGAGTTGTTACGGTAATTAAATATGTGCATACAGGGCTTTGTACCACTTTGGCACTGAGTAAGGTTCATAAAATTGTAGCTACTCACCCTCTTTCATCATTGTAATCACATTTGCAGGGAAGCTACTTGGAAGAGAATGGCATGACGGGGAAGTCCCTCTGTCTGCTCCTCCCTCCTACCCTCCCCAGAGAAGCCTGGAAAACCCAACCACTTTTTCTTGTGCTTGTTTGTGTTTCTAGATTTTCTTCCAATTTGGGATCAATTGATTCCCGTCAGAAACAGATGCCCATTACCATTTCCTCCTGCATGTTTATTTAGAAAAAAATCAATTGCTGTGTTCAATATAATCAAATCTATTTGCTCTCTGGGAGTCTCCATGCTCTGACAAGAACGGTTCTCTCCTTCCCCCTCACCTTGCTAGCATCCCTCTTTTGCCTGGTAGAGTATTGATTCCTAGGAGTTCTTAGGACCATCAGTTGGCAAACCCAATTCTCAAGTCTGTGTAGCTACATGGTGTTGACAGTAGCAGCCCCATTGTCCCACTACAGAACCTGCTGGGGTTTTTTATTTTGGGGGACCTGGATACAGATCAGTTTTGGGGAGGGAGAGGAGTAGTCTCGCCCAAGTCTAGCCTCTCACTCCCTAGATGAAGATGAAATCTGGTCCTGGCAAATGGATCGGAAGTGGGGATACAGGATGACCGTGGAGATGGAGCTATCGGGGCAGATGGTAATAAAAGTGTCTATGTGGTCAACCAACTCATCTTTGACAAGCCTCCAACAACAACCACTGGTGCTGGGAAAACTGGCTGACCACATGCAGAAGATTGAAACAGGACCCCTACCTATCACCATACACAAAAAATTAACTCTAAATGGATCAAAGAGCTAAATGTAAAACCTCAAACTATAAAATCTTAGAAAACACAGGAGACACCCTTATGGAAATTGGAACTGGGAACCAATTCTTATTCAGAACCCTAAAGGCCAATACCTTAAGAAATAAGATAGACAAGTGGGACCTCATCAATCTAATGAGCTTCTGCAAAGCAAAAGAAGCCATCAAGAGAGCAGGGAGACAGCCCACAGAATGGGAAAAAATATTTGCCAACTGTTTATCTGACAAAGGCCTAACATCTAGGATCTACAAGGAACTCAAACGTGCTGAAAGGAAAAAAACACAGCTCCTTTAAAAAGTGGGCAAAAAACATGAATAGATACTTCTCCAAAGAAGATAAACGGGCAGCCAACAGACACATGAAAAAGTGCTCAGCCTCACTCATCATCAGAGAAATGCAAATCAAAACCACAATGAGATACCACCTAATCCCTGTAAGAATGACCATCATTAATAAAACAAACAACAACAGATGCTGGCAAGGATGGGGAGAAATAGGAACACTTCTACACTGCTGGTGATAATGCAAACTAGTACAACCTCTCTGTAAGACAGTGTGGTGATTTCTGAAAGAACTAGAAATTGACCTTCCATATGACCCAGCAATTCCCCTATTGGGAATATATCCTGAGGAACTCAAATCATTTTACAAAAAAGATACCTGCACACGTATGTTTGTTATAGCTCTAGTCACTATAGCAAAAACATGGAACCAACCGTGTTGCCCATTGAAGCTGGGCTGGATAAAAAAAATGTGGTACATATACACGATGGAATATTATGCAGCCATAAAGAAGGACAAATATAAGGACTTTGCAGCAAATTGGATGGATTTGGAGTCGATCATACTCAGTGATCTATCACAGAAACAAAGAACAGAGTTCCATATGTTCTCGCTCATAAATGGACCTTGAACAATTATAATACTGTAGGAAAGGGATTGGCAGTAGTGGGAAACTGTTGGGGGGATGGGCTGGGATTGGCAGTTGAGGGAAACTGCTAGGGGAGGGAGGGGTATACCTCATCAACAAGGGTACCTGCCTGATCAATGTTTATATACCTAACCCCGAAATGTACCACATCTTCATAATAAAATTGTTTTTAAAGTGTCTATGTGGAGCATCTGCACAGTCCAGCACTGCAGGTACTCCTCAGGCAAATGCATCCTGGAGGGTATTTATACCCAGATACTGGGAAGCAGGTGTACACAGCAGATGACACAGTATCAATAGGAGGCTCTGCTCAGAAATCATAGTGGACAATTGACTTCTAAGAACATGTCACAGCAGGGCCACTTGGAGATTAGGCCAGGCCAGGTCAAAAGGGCAGGATGTCTCATTCTCACTTGTTCCTACAACCTTCCTCATGGACTTTGTGGGGGGAAGATAAGCCTCTTCTGAGCTGCCTGCTGCCCTGCTTGGGCCAGGGGAATGCAGCTAGACCACTCTGCAGCACAGAAGCCATTGAGGCAGGGCCTGGGGGGTGGAGGTGGAGGTGCCATGGCTTGCCCCTTCTATCATACCCTTCCAACTCACTGTAAGCTTACAGGCTTCTGGCTTCTTTACCCTGGCACTGCCCAGCAGACACTTGCCGGTCAGGAAGGTATGCACATGTCTAGACAGTCACCTGGGGGAAAAGGCCAGGTGCTCCAAGTCTTTGGGGTCAGCTCCCTGTGCCTCCGGTCCTGCCCCCTGCTTGGGCCATGCTGGCCAGGCCCCTCCCATCCTTTCATCAACATTTATCTACAAGCTATGTGCCAGAGCCTGGGTGGCATGCTGGGGATACTGTGGAGCTTCTGGACGTGGGCATCGTGGATACCCATGGAGGGAGGGTTAATGAGGCCAAGGGTGAAGCAGGGAGGCCATGGGAAGGATGTTCAGGATGAGGCCTGTAGGGCGAGGAGAAGGCAGAGGGAAAAGCATGCCAGGCAGCAGGCATGGTGAGTGCAGGAGCAAGTGGTGCAGTATGTCTTAAAGACCAAAGAATGCTGGCAAGGCTGGGCTGGCATGGGTGAGTTGGGAAACTGTGGAACAAGAATGGCAGGGGAGGGCAATGGGCAGTCCAGGCAGGGCCTCCAAAGCCTCAGGGTCATGTGTGAGCTATGGCAGGATGCCAGGCACCACAGATCACATGGCTTAAAACTTCATTCTTTCATTCCTTTACTGAGGGCCTGCTCTGTCCCATGGGCCATGCTAGCTACTGAGGTCCTGAGATAAATCAAAGGGCTCCCAGAAAAGAATCTGAACTCCTTCTTTATCCAAGAAGCAGATGTGCTTTAAATGAATCACAAGAGAAGACTCTACTCAAACTCCCATTATTAAGTCATTCGTCCAGTATGACTGAGCTCCTCTAGGGCCCCATGGCATGGGGGAAGTGCTGTGGCCACCCCAGGAAAGATGGATTGATGGTAGGCTTTTTGTCCCTGTGGAGATAATCACCTGAGAACACAGAGTCCAAACTCTCCCCTTGAGAAGCGCTTTGATGCTTCCTCTCCAGCAAAGACTGCCTTCTTGGTGGCTCCTTGCCTTCACTCCCTGCCTTTGTCATTCGAATTCCACAGGGGTCAGGACAGGGAAGGGGGGAAAACTCCCTTACCCTCCTCCAGTCCCCAGAGGCAGATGCCCCAAACCTGCTGCTTCCAACTCAGTCCCTGAGGTAAGCTTCTCTCCTGAGGTGGGCCTTGGCTTCCAGCACGGGTATCTTCCTAGCAAGCTATGCCAAAGCGGTAGCTTGCCAAATCCCAGTTTTCTCTCTTCATTCCCAAACGCCCTGGCTTCATGTGCAGTCAGACAGGAGTGGCTCGCCTGTGCGAAGCCCTGGACATTTGGGAGCCTGCCAAGCTTGGCCTGTGGCTAAGGGCTCCCTCCCCTGCTTCCAGCTTCAAACATTTGTCTAATTAGGAAAGAAATACATGCCCATCAAAAAGCCACTTGGAAAGCACAGATGAATATAAAGAAAGAGAAAATAAATCATCCATAATCCACCTCCTGGTGGTGGCTGC